CTCCACCATCTTCCTCAGGACGAAGATGTTGGAATGAGTGTCTGTTAAGGCTCTCTGTCTGCCCTGCTGCCCGCTGCTGTCTTTGCCAGTCCTGCTGCAGTCTACTTCAGGAACTTTGCTGTGGGAGTTCATGGAGTTTAGCGCTTGTAGACAGGACACTTCTGTGGAAAAATACATCTGTTACTCTTGGGAGAAAATTACACACGCTTGGGTCTGAGGATGGATGGACAGAAGGATGGACGGATGGATGGATAGACGAACGGACAGATGGACGGATGGTTTGGATAAATGAACGGTTAGACAGGTGGTTAGACAGATGGATGAATGGACGCACGGATAGACGGATGGTTGGACAGATGGATAGATGAATGGATGGACCAATAGATGGTTGAATAGATGGATGGACGGATGGATGGATGGATGGATGGATGAATGTATGGATGGACAGATGGTTGAATGGATGAGTGGATGGATGAATGAATGGTTGGATGGATAAATGGTTGGATGAATGGGTAGATGGATATTCATTTAATTAAATAAAAATGTGATAAAAACAGCAGTATTGTGAAAGATTATTACAATTTACAATATATGTACTAAATTGTAATATTTTGATGTTTGTGAATATATATATATATATATATATATATATATATATATAGAATATATCACATGGAATTTTTTATTATTTTTTTATGGTAAGAATTTTTCATCATTTATATAAGCACAATATTTCATGCCATTACAGGAGAAACATGGACAACAGCACTGTGAGTAAGCTGCAATCTTGAAAGTACAATTATATATATATATATATATATATATATATATATATATATATATATATATATATATATATATATATATATATATATATATATATATATATATATATATATATATATATATATATATATATATATATATATATATATATATATATATAAGGTTGTTGGACTTTAGATTTTTCTAAAGAGTTTTGTATTTTATTAATATTTATTTTATATTTTTACATTTTAATTAAACATTTGCCCCAAAGATCTAAATAAAGTGAGACATATGACTACATATAAATAAGTAAATAAAAAAGAAATAGTTCATAGTTCATGTATTGACATGTATGTGTGTGTGTGTGTTTGTGTGTGTGTGTCTATACACACACACACACACACAAACACACAAACAAACACACACACACACACACACACACACACACACACACACACACACACTGAGATTATTATTAATAATAATCCTGAAAACAGCTTCATGTTTTTGTTTAAACCATAGTACTTATTTTTTCATGTTCTTTGGTAACTAAAAGTTCAAAAGAGCTATTGTTTGGAATAAAAAAAATTCAAAAATTACAGACAGTTTTGATCAATTCAATGCATCCTTGCAGAATAAAATTTGAAAAACAAAAAAGAGATTTCACTGACCCCAAACCTCTGAATGGTAATGTAGTCTATACATTTCCATTGCAATATGATCTCTAAAGAGGCCAAATCTGATTTCCTTTTCACATTATTCAAAGAAGTTCAACAGCATTTATTTTAATATATATTAAACATTTATCTGATTTGACGTTTATTATTTTTTTATTGTTTTGTTTTCAGTTTTATCTCATTTATGGTCAGTGAGTAGTGACTATTTTGGTTACATGATGTGACATATTTCCTGAATCAAACTGGATGTTCAAAAAGAAATATGTAGGGCAAGAGAGTAAAGGGATTTAAACAAGCCAAGAGAAACATAAAAAGTAAAGAGAAACATAACAATTATCCAATTGTGTTGGATTTAAATGTTTTGCAATTACTTGTTTGAATTTAAATGTATATTATTTATATTTCTAAAGATGTAGAGTGCCCAAACTCTTATTTTAATACATCTATCTTTTTATAAAACTGTTTTGTTAAAATACACTGAGAAATGTATAAAAACATTTTTCAAAAAGAGGTGTACTCATTTATGCTGAGCACTGTATGTATTCCATTATAATACACACACTTTGAAACTTTCAATCATTAACCAATTCCCAGCTAAAAGAAACACTCTCTGTTTTCTTCAGTGTAGAAAAAAACAACAGCAACATGGCAATAAAGCAGTAATGTTGACGTAAAATGTAAAGTTGACGTTTACTCACTGCAAAACTTGTGAAAGTCAGTCTGTATTTCCTTTCTGGAGTTCAGGAAGATTCTTCCCTTCTCTGTTCCCACTGCGATCACGCTGTCCTCATGCACAGTGACACAGGCCACCTCAGCATTCAGCTTAGACATGGCGGAGCACTGCAAGCACAGTTCACCTCAGCTCATCCACAAACATAATTGTGCATAATACTCGCACTTTAAAGAATCTTTAAAACCCCCTTACCACCGAGTCCAGAGCAGACACAAGGCTGGTGAGGATCTCTTGTCTGGCTGAGACTTGGGGAACTTTGAGCTCTGGTCGAGAGTTTGTTCTCATCCCATCACAGCCCAACTTCCGTATCTGAGCCATTCTTCTGAGAGAAACAAGGATTAAAAAGTTACAATAAGTAGCGCAGTAAGTAATATTCGCCGCTAGAGGGTGTGTATACACAACAAACAAAGGCATAATTTGATGACACTGTGACTGAGTTTGGAATCATTGGAGTTGTCATCTTCATTACATAATCATGTAGGAAAGCAGCAGCACTGTTTTATTGTACTACGACAATTTTAGGGTTCATCTATAATGCTGCTCCATGCAAAGCAGTAAAACACACAACATATTAAAGTGTCTTTGGTGTATCCATTTTTTCTATAAAACCAAATTAGATATCAAGAGTGTGTGACGTTATTAGCATGGCGATACAGACACAGTCAGCGTCACTAGTTAAAAATGTTTTTTTTTCCTCTGGATTTGAACATTCTTCAAAACAATTGGGATAATTTAACTACATAAGTTAGCAAATTATTAACCACTGTTCTGGTGGTTTTATATACATACAATGACCAGCCACTTTATTAGGTCTACTGCTGATTTCTAATCAGCCAATCACATGGAAACAACTCAGTGCATGTAGACATGGTCAAGACGGTCTGCAGCAGTTCAAACCAAGCATCAGAATGGGGAAGAAAGGTGATTTCATTGACTTTGAATGTGGCATGGATGTTGGTGCCATATGGGCTGATCTGAGTATTTCAGAAACTGCTGATCTGCTGGGATTTTCACACACAACCATCTCTAGGGATTACAGAGAATGGTCTGAAAAAGTGAAAATAGTGAGGTATGCAAAAGAGCATCTCTGAACTCGCAAAATGTACAACCTTGAGGTAGATGGACTACAGCAGCAGAGGACCACACCGGGTGCCACTCCTGTCAGCTAAGAATAGGAAACTGAGGCTACTATTCACACAAACTCACCAAAATTGGACAACAGAAGATTGGAAAAACGTTGCCTGGTCTAATGAGTCTTGATTTCTGCTGCGACATTCGGATGGAAGGGTCAGAATTTGACATAAACAACATGCAAGCACAGATCCATGCTGCCTTGTATCAAACGGTTTAGGCTGTCGGTGGTGGTGTAATCAGGCATGTGATAAGTCGAGGACAATAAAAAGAAGGAAGACAAGATAACAAGTGCAGAATTGAGTAGCGTAATATACTTTAATAGTCCACCCTAAATAAAATATCATACGAGCTAAAAAGAGTTTATCACATTCACTTTAATTTGCCTTCGGCTATGTCCCTGCTTTCTTTTAGTTGTGATTAATTATAAAATATATCTTTATAAATATGTAATATCATCTAAACTTATGAAACTTTCAGGTATTACATTTCAGGTGTTTGACTGTAGCACTGAATTAATGAAGGCATAAGGAGAGATGATCTGCGAGGATAATAACAAATGTGCCTCCTGCAGCTTTATTTATAATGTAAATAGAGTGCACGTGGTCGTAACGTGCAAATGTGAGAGCGTGCACAGTCGCGCCCGCATTCAAAGCAATTTCATAATCTTGCATATTGTCAGCGGCTTCGGCACACATTATAGGACTACACAATATCATTATATTATATATAGTAACCTAGTAGGTCTACAATTACATGCCTGAATGACTACCGGATTGAAGGAGTTACTGCTTAGTGTTGTGCTCAATGGCAAACAATAAAGGCGCAAACCATCAGGTCATTTGCCTTGATGACCATGAACCTCACTGACACCCCCCTCCCCACCCCCCTGAATTTCGTTTTAACGTAAATTACAGGGGTTGCTCCATTGAGCTCGGAAAATAAAAACATCCATATTAATATGGAAGAATCACATCCCTGTGTTATGCTGTGGGGGATATTTTCTTAGCACACTTTGGGCCCATTAGTACAAATTAAGCATCAACGCTACAGCCTACTAGAGTATTGTTGCTGACCATGTCCATCCCTTTATGACCACAGTGTACCCATCTTCTGATGGCTACCTCCAGCAGGATAACGCGCCATGTCATAAAGCACGAATAATCTCAGATTGGTTTCTTGAACATGACAATGTTCCTCAAATGGCCTCTACAGTCATCAGATCTCAAATCCAATAGAACACCTATGGGATATGGTGAATTAACATCAAGGATGTGCAGGCAACAAATCTGCAGCAACTGACGATCATGTCAATATGGACCAAAATCTCTGAGGAAAGTTTCCAGTACCTTGTTAAATCTATGCCACATGGGATTAAGACAGGTCAGAATGCAAAAGGGGGTCCAACCCGGTCATTAACAATTTTATTGAAAAAAATTATCTTAAATCTAAATATTACTACTATATTACCTATATAATAGTAATATAGTACCATTACCTTACCTTACCTTAGTAATAATTGTTCAAGCTCTTGTTCTATCCAGACTGGACTATTGCAACTTTCTACTAGCCGGGCTTCCAGCTAACTCTATCAAACCTCTTCAGCTGCTTCAGAACGCAGCAGCACGAGTGGTCTATAATGAACCTAAAAGAGCACATGTCACTCCGCTACTCTTCCGTTTGCACTGGCTGCCAGTTGCTGCTCGCATCAAATTCAAAGCTCTGATGTTTGCTTACAAAGCGACTTCTAGCTTTGCTCCTTCTTATCTGCTCTCACCTCTGCAGATCTATGTGCCCTCCAGAAACGTGTGTTCTGTGAATGAACGTCGCCTCGTGGTTCCATCCCAAAGAGGGAAGAAATCACTTTCTCGAACTCTCGCGTTCAATCTGCCCAGTTCGGGGAATGAACTCCCTAACTGCATCAGAACAGCAGAGTCACTCACTGTCTTCAAGAAACATATAAAAACTCAACTATTTAGTCTCCACTTCCCTTCCTAATCTGCAATTGCCTCTCTGGCTCCACCGCTAACTGTACTACAAAAAAAAAAAAAAACTAATGTTTTGCTTCTTACACTTTACACACCTGAAACTTGCCTACAGCACTTATTCATTGTTGCTCTTATAGTTGTGTTATTTGCTTCCTTGTCCTTATTTGTAACTCGCATTGGATAAAAGCGTCTGCTAAATGACTAAAAGTAAATATTACCAATATAATTATAACTATACATTGCCTGAGCAAAACTTAGTCTATGTCTGGATTTAAATACTTAAGTGTTTATCATAAACAAATATTTCAGTGCTGAATTAAAACCGAAATTAATGGTTTAGGTTCTGTTGTTAATTTATATTATAATGTACAAGTAATATTTACAGCAGACTTTTTAATCCTTCAGAAAATGATAATTGAATTTGTTGAAAGACAGAGCTGCAATTTTTTCAGTGAACCACTGCCGTTTAATAAAAAAGAGGCAATTTTATATTTAGTATTTCACAGTATAAAACTCCTGATTCAAAATAGCTGATAAACATTATGAAGTGTGCAATTGCTTTCAGACAAACGCACAGCTAAAGTTCATTTCAGGCAGGTCTACAGTTCTATATCACTATGCCAAATAATTTCACACCCTACAACAGTCAAAAATCTAATTAAAAAGCAACAAAAGACTTTAAGATGAGTAAAAAAAAACTGGTCCTACATGGGAGCCTTTTTAGGAAAATCTTGAAATAAAACATCAAAACCATGTCTTTAGATGTGGTATCTGTAGTAAAAGTGGTCACATCACCACCTTGGGTTTCTATTATGGAGTGTCGTCAGTTATTCCTAATGTCATTACAGTAAAACAATACTAACTAGTATGTAGTGAAACAATTGCATACAAATACAAACCAATATGATGAAGGTTTCAAGTTCCCCATTAACTTTTTCAAATATATTTCTGCTGTACAAAACGTATTGAAGGATGGCAAAAACCTATAAGAAGCTTTGGAAAGTGATAGTAATACCCTCCCCTGTGCTAATACGCCGGAATCCGTCACACACATGTGAAAGTAGCTAATTACGATAAGCCTTTGTCAACCAATTAAAGCTAGCTCAGATTATTGCCTTAAAACCCTTCATCCTTAATTTGTTCTCCTTAGAAGCAAGACAGGGCCTGGAAGCACGAGGCCTCGGAAGTCAACTACTTTACCCATCCCTCTCGACAAGATGCCCCCCAAACATCTCCATGTAAGCCACGTCAGCTCCAAACTACAACGCTATAAACTTGGAAGCCAGGCTAGGTTTATAAAATGAATGCAAATGAAATGGTGGCTTGAAGGCAAACTAAAACAGCAGGGATGACAAATGCGAGCTGTACCACAAACAAAAAAATAAATAAAACGCAATCCTAATTCGGGGCCTTGTGTTCACATGGCAACTGCAATCCGTTTCCTTGGAAACTAATCTCGAGGCATGTGAACAATGCAGCTCTGGCCTTTAATCTCTCCAGACACTGGGAGCCATTATCCCAGCCTCCGGGCAGAGCCAAAACCACAGGCTGCACAGAGAGATCCAGCGCTAGTATTACTCGTCTGAAAACCTCCAATAAACCCGAGCCGGATGCCTCTGCTTGAGCATAATCTTATAGACAACATCTGATCAACAACACCAACACCTTGTATCTTTCAGATTTTCCGAATAACCAAGCTTAATTCAGAACTTTGCCTGAAAAATAAAGTTTCCTAGTCTCTGATTTGATGCTTTAACATATTAATGGATGTCAGAACTTCCTAAAGTACATTCAGGATTAACTCAATAAAAGAATAGGTCACGCTTTATAATAAGGTTTCATTAGTTATTGTATTTAGCATGAACTAATCATGAACAACAGTTTAAAGAATTTTAATTATCAAAATTCACATGCAACATTAGAATAGAGTTAAAGAGGTGGTCAAGAGTTTATTTTTAAGGCCTGGTTGTGTTTATGGGGTGCAATGTGTTCTCATGCTTCATTTGTAAAAAATCAGGTTATGTTTTCATATATCCTATTTTGATTATTTACCATCTCAGCTAACATGAAAACGACATATTTCCTAGTTCCTCTGAAAACCCGCTCTCAAAAGGCTCTGATCGGTCAGCTACCGTAATGTGCTGTGATACACAGATCAGCTTCACATTACCAGGAAGCATCTCTGTTATAACATTTAACAAGG